ACGTACGATTCCCTCGAACGTGACCGAACAGGTTCGCCCCGGAACGTGGTAAGCAATCAGGTAGCGAAATTCCATTCATAGCCTGCGTGCATATTAGTCGGACATTAGTCGGACGATAGCCTGATTTTACGCATCCTAGAGAGGAAGCGGGATTTTCGCTACACTGGAGCTGGAATGATGAGCTGCACATCACAGGTGGAGGGAAAAGAATAACTGATAGATTGTGGCTATCAATTTTTTTTTTTACGAACTCGCCTTGCTGCCCTAGGAAAGTACTATTCGACAAGTGTGTGTGTGTGTGTGTGTATGTGCGCGCCCAGCCCAGTGTTCAGAGTGATTACCATTCGTTTTATTTTTTTAAAAATTATTTTTAACCTTCAATGTTGCACTGATATTCCCATGAGATGTCGTTCCCAATAGACAATCTATGTGTGTTAGAAGTTACACGTCAACAATTCAATAAACTGCGTAATATTGTCGTCATCTCCTCACTCACCCTTGACCATCATTCATTAGCTGTATTGATTTGATCTGTGAGCAGATTGGTTGAGAAGACCAAACTATACGCAACAGCTATTGATCACTCCGGCGACTGTTGACGCGGACGCTCCAAATTCGACCCGATGAGTAGTGCACTTTGAGTCGAGGCCACATCAGATGAACCAAATCCTCGATACAAAGTAAACGATTGCACTGTGATATCCAATTGCGTTTTTTACTATTGACGTATCATCGGAGTAGTCGAATCGAGTGCATTCTTTGCCATTTTGATCCATAAAGAGCGCCATGGTGAAACAATCAGGCCCGGGTATCCGGGGGGGGGGGGGNGGTTGGCTGGTACATTCCATCCCACAGTGCTCCTCGTTCAGTCGAATTGATTCATCGACCAATCGATTAGTCAATCGTCTGCGCGGTCGATTGATTGCATAGTAGTCGATCTAAAGGGCGGAAAAATGAGGACAGCAATTGAAACCACATAGTTATTTGCGCGGTCAATAAGGACCCCACTTTAAGCTGCACGATAAAAGGGCACACTTTGCCATGTACGATATTAGCTCGTTCTCCCACCCCAGCTATTTGATCATGCCTTTAGATATGGAAGCGATTGGAAATACGTGAGGGTAGTAAACGGATGTACACTTTTGGATGATAATACTATCATATTTTGCACACGCACGCAGAAAACAGTATCGTTATTAGATCGATTTCTAGTCAACCTGGACTACTATGGCATAGCCGTCAGCCGTAAAGTGATTAACCATCAAATGCATAGCTATGTATAAAAAATAACGAGATGGATCATCTAGTCGGCAATCCCACGACTGTTTACAGTCACAAGGCGGACTCACATAACTCGGAGGATGATGACAATGATGCTGATGATGACTCGGATTATGATGACGATGATGATGCTGATTCGGATGATGATCGCGGTGCATCTGCACAAACGAAGCCGTCATCAGCGTGTCGGTTCAGTATTTGTGTATGATCGGTCATGAATCAGTTTCCGGGACCCAACTGGTGGGGTACTGGGCTTTCGCTGATCAAATGTTAAAATTTTCACTGTTTATCCTTGCTAACTGTTTAATGTTACAGCTACTTAGCCTATGATTGTCTGACTTGGAACCAGAGTGTTTAATGTCACTAGATTTTGTGGAAGCGTGTGCTAGCGAAATGCACGGAATGAGTCAGTGGTACCGACCAACGACGTCACTCGTTGAAAGGTTTTCTAATCCCGATCTCTGGTTTAATCTGAGTTCACTGGCGAGCAGAGATGTGTAATAGTACAATCTGCCACCTTCCCTGCTCTATAGTTCCTGCATCAAGAGATTTGTTTTGCATGAAGAAAGAAAGAGAAGGTAGAAAATTTATATTAAGGAGGATATAAATCAGTTCTATGCATGGTATTTGAGAGCCACAAGGCCCCCAGGATGAAAAGGGTTGTTCGGAGCATGGCGATCGCGAAGTTGGCAATCACCAGAACAGAAGGGAAGATGAGCAGATGATGAACAGCGTGCATTTGTTGAGCCAGAGAGAAATTGAACACACGGACCGGGGATGGCTCACGTCCTGCATTGGTTGATTGCGAGCATGATGAAACAAACTACGACAAAACAACGCACTAAGATGGAACCTGGGGGTAGGCAGGTTTTAATTGAAACATACTGTAATTCGTGTTACTAACCATGAGGGTTGCATGTGACTAGAATCTTGATCTATCTAAAAAGTAAGCTCGCTACGTGCAATAACTTTAACTGCTTTTCACAGTTTCCGAGTTTAATCAACGGTACTTAAACTCAGAGTTGTTTAGCCATGACGATTATGGTATTCTTATCCTACCTATTAAGAGGGAGACTCTCCTCTTCCAGTTTACTTTTTATTATTTTTGGGGGAGCATTACTTGCCGTAACGGTGATTTTCGTTTTCTTCGCAGATAAGCATTTCATGCTTGTTATGCTCTAAAACCACGTGAGTGTGTCATACTCGCATGTTTTGTCGCATTTTGTTTGTGATCACATGATGATGGTCTACCCTTTGATCTTGGGAACCAGTAAACGAAGCGCGAGAAAACACCGGACATGAGGACATGTAAAAATTTGTTAGTGGACAACTAAATCACTTTCCGTAATATTCAGCTGCATTTTCCGGGTCATAAAGTCTAAATAGATGGACAAAGAAAGATATTCCCCAACCACAAATTGCACCGGCACTCCTGAGCAAAACAGAAAAACAAGTAAGTCACAGTGGGTCGGGGCTTTCAAATTGAGGTTATAGTAAACCAGCGGTTTGGTCGACCTCTGATATAAAAATCACTGCTTCACAAATACAGTATAGAGGTTTTCAATATAGCAGTCCATGATCCATTGGGAATCCCACCATCCAACTAAACTATGGCATCACTTGAATTCACTTGGAAGTGATAAGGTTGTGCAATAATCGATATTGGTTGACGAATTTTAGACTTCGTCTTCACACACACACATACAAGCCCCAGTTCATACCAGCGTGTTTTTATTCGGTCCAGCCACTAAACTATCTGTGTCCGATCAAAAGTGGAGCTAAGGTGCACTAGGGCATGCCGAACGAATGGTTGACTGGACGAGTCGGAGATTGTGGGCGAAGATAAAGTCTGGGAATGTTGACCAGTCGAACTGAGTAGTTCACTCACTCATTCCCCACGGAGGGGATGGTTTAATAGAAATTGTGATCCATTGCGGATTCCAGTTCTGCATACTAAGAAATGGTGTAAGCAAAAGGCGACCTTTTGTGTTACGTCAGGGCGGGGAAAAATACACCGAACTACAAAATCTTATTAATTCACCGATTCCTCGTAACTCACTCCATTGATGTATGTGTATAGCAAAGTTACGCACATACACACACACGCACATATACACCGATCCACACGAATACCACAGCAAGCAATTTGTCTTCTTTACGTCTTGCTTGGCAGTATGACCAATTCCAGATTGGAATGCGTGACCTAAATTATCTCGTATTGCCCTGAGCATGGGCGGTATCCCAGCTCATAGTGTGTCATGAGTTGTACTGAAAAGCCCATGCAGCAGTGCAGATCATACACGAACTGAAATGCACCAACGAAGACAGTAACGCGTCCCCCTTGATTGCTTCATTGTGTCTGATGAACCTCTCTCTCTGAACCGCTCTCTTTGTTTTATAAGCGAGGGAAAGATTTGTGATGACCGACAGAGGTAATAAGGGTTTGAAGTCCCGCCGCGAATGTTCGCGGTTCGAGCCTTGACACGGGGACACAAAAGGTATGCACTGTCGACGAGTACCAAACAGAACGAAACGGCTATCCAGTGCACTCTTTGTGTTGGTCACCACAAGTCTTTGCCATCGCTTATAAATGCATTCAACTAGTGGGGACTTACCGCGCTCTCTCAAGGATTGAAACCCACACCCAAGACCATCAACAACAGTGCCTGGTTCCCGTGTTATTAATCGAATGGATTATTCGGAATTTACTACTCTTAATCTCTCTTTCACTCGCTCCCTCGAATTCTCGAAAGATTACCGGCATCTACCTTCACCTGATAAATTGCAAATGTTATTCGCTAGAGTATATTTTACATTCTAATAATTATCTCATTCAAGTGGTCTGTTTTCCCGCGTCTATTGCAACCGTTGCCTTTTCTCTTGCAATCACCCCCTTTCTTTTCTCAGGTTATGGCTCTATCACGTCTGCTCAGCCCACTACCGGACGGAGCGTATTGGACCGGAGGTAAATTGGTCCGTTATCGAGTGAACAATATGCGTCGCCCAACATCCACGGATCATGTGGTTCTCACCTGGAACGATGGTCGTGTCGGTCGACCGTCAATTCTGGGTCTAACTCGAGCGGACGAGGAACAGTTGCGCGAGGGTTACACATACTGTCTGGCTTTGAACTTGAAAGAGGCCACTTGGCAAGCAAGAGACTGTTCGGATCGTCTACCATACGCCTGTCTGATTACACCTCGTCAAACGGGATTCACAAACAAGGTACCACTGGTGCCTCAGTTTGGTGAGAGCACTGAAGTTCCCGAGATGACCGCGGCAACCACAGAGGAAGATCTAAGTCAAACCACGGCAGATTTGCTTGCCGGTGAAATGGCCACATCGCAGCCGATGAGCACCACCCCCACGACTCAGAATGTAAACACACTGACTCCTCTGACAACCGGGGCAGTTTCAACTCAGTCACTGACGACTGAAACTGGTGCAACCCCATCAACTGCGTCTGGTATGACCGAAAGTACGTATCCATCCGCTGGAGCAACCGACAAAACTACGCCAGTATCTTACCCACCCTCAGTGAAAGCGGCGGTGGCAGACTTTGACGGTGATGTCTATCATACTGAGGATGATGACGACAATGATGATGACGACTTTAAGAGGTCTGAAAAGCCAACGACGTTGGATAGCACAATTCGAGAAACGACTAAATCACCAAAAACTGTTGGAGTCTTGAGTGGTGTGGCTTATCAGACGACCGGTATGCCAACAACCGCCAAAGTATTGAGTGGTGTGGCTTATGAAACAACTGGAATACCGACGACCGCAACGGCGGTGAATGTTGTGAAACATGAGACGACGGGCATGCCAACCACGAACAAATTGTTATGGGGTGTGGCCCACCACACGACCGGAATGCCAACAACCGCCCGGGTGATGAGTGGCGTGGCTCACCACACTACTGGAATGCCGAAAACCACAGCCAAACTGTTGAGCGGTGTGTCTTATGAGACAACCGGAATGCCGACGACCGCCAAGATGTTGAATGCAGTAGCGCACGAGACAACGGGCATGCCCACAACCGCCAAAGTGTTAGGTAGTGTGGCCCACCAAACGACTGGACTGCCCACGACTGCTAGGGTCTTGGATGAGGAAACCGTTGACAATGAAGCGTTTTAGAATATGCAACCGACCAGTGTGATAGGGACATCTCGGATGTGTCTTTTTTTCTATTTTGAGCATTATGTGATTTGAAATATGCCAGGTTAATAAACGGACAAATATTTTCCTTGCTATTCATCTTATTCCGCCTATCAGTTGGCACGCATTTATACAAAGGGGTGAAAGCACTAGCTCGCAACCGGTACAGCTGTGTTGTAACAGTGAACCCACACATTCGCGCGCGCACACAAACACTTACGCTTGGTTTTTTCGATCCTCGTGCTTCACGATAAGTTAAATTTACGGGTAAGAATCGTTGACACCACGACCTAAAACGTTTGCAAGGTGGGTAAATCGTCAGTGAGTTTATGGCATGCGGCTGCAACATAAACTACCTGATCATCCTTCCGGTAGCGCTTTTATGCATAGAATTAAGTGAAATGGACACTGGGAGGGCACTGTAGACTGCAATTTCCCTCTGGTCAGTGCGGTATGTTGTTCGGGGATTGACGCCCTAAACCTGTCGCATGGAAGCACGCTAAGTCAAAATCGGTAGGGAATTATCGCACGTCAATCACTACTCAAAGGTAGCCTTTCAATGAAACAAAAATTTATTCTGTCCAGAATCCGGTGCACTGTTTTCATGCATGTCGAATGTTGTTGCAACAGGTCTAGGCCTACCATTCCAGTTCAGTTCTTACAACCATGCACTTTCGTGTGTCGGTTTTGGTTCCCTATCTTTTGGTTGCCCATTTGGACAAAAGAGCAGAATGAAGACTAGGATGTTGGCAGCAGATTCAAGCGGAAGATAGCGCATTTACATAGACTGATGTTACAAGAATAATGAGTTAAATCATGAGTAACACTGTTTGCGACACCCAGTCATATCACTCAGTGTCTCTAACCATCGGTGACCATCATCCTGAGGTCCCCAGCCAGGGAGCCTAAAGGGACCTACGTGAGCCAGTCTCCTGGTCAAGGTTTTCATAACCCCTTGTAACGTCATAGTTTGACCGTCCTTGATCTTTTTCCAACCGCTACCTGCCTCGGCAAACATCGGTCACCGTAGTAACCTATCTGGTGACATGCGTAGCACATGTCCCAACCAGCATAATCTATGGAGGTCGACCACTTGCTCCAGTGGACTACCTCGATTACCCAAAACTTTATGCCTAACCTCAGCATTGCTGCCTCACCCCATTCGTGCAATGCTGAGTTGACAGCGGTGTTCAAGCACCGACAGTTTATCTTTATCATTTTTTTCTCAATGACCAAGTCTCTGCACCGTAAAGCAGCACTGGTCGAAATTCTGCAGCATATACTCGACCCTTAACAGACAGCCGGATGTTGCGACAGCGCCACGGATGCTTCAGACTGGCAAATGCCAACCGAGCGTTCTGTATGCGTGCCGACACTTCATTTGTGACGGGTCTGCCAGCTATATAGCTGCCCATATAGCGAAACTTGTCTACTTCCTCTACTACTTCCCCGGTCAGGGTGAGGTTGGGGACTGGACCAACAAAATCTTGGAGCAGTCTCGTCGTAATAGCCATTCGAGTAGAGTGGGAAGTTGTGAAATTCATGGAGCATGACCGTCATTCAAACAGGTCCAGTATAAATCAGTTCTGCCTGTCTTTATTCTGAGCGGATTACAAGGGTTAGGAGACCAAACTCGGGTGAACGAGTCAAATAGTCACAGGTGTTACCCCTAAGTTATAATCAGAATGATTTCGCAATTGGAGCTTAACCGCCGCCTCCACCGCCATCCAGCTTTGGTGGTAGGTAGCCTTACAGTCACCCGGTTCAATAGCATGCCTAACCTAGTGCGGCCTTATGTGGTTCACTATTCCAAGTCCCGGGGCTTCGCAACTGTTAGTTAGATCGACCGAGGTGCACGAAATATATACTATCAGCAGACCAAGTCGGTGGCAACGTAACCAAATTATCACCCCGGAGTACGTATGTTCGATCCCCATTGTCACCATCACCACCATCTGACTTTCCCCAGTAAGTATTGTCAGGCAACCTCGTTTGATTGACCGCTTTCCCCTTCCTGAAAAGTGTATCTTTGCATATCCAATAGAAATAAATAAAAATGAGAAAGCAAACATGGTGTGTAACAAGTGGAGACAATTAGTTATATACAAAGGTGGTTTTGATGTTCAAAAACATTAAGTATACAAATCAGGCTCCCGAGTTTGAGTAGACTCGAAGAGTACCACACGTAATCAAAGCACACCAATAAACATTACAATTGATTTGTTTTGGTTAAGTTCGATGTTGTACAATTAATTTTGGCTAAAAGAGCTAAGTTCAATCAAGGGAGGCTTGGGGACACTAAGGAGTTCGGTATTTGTAGTGCATTGGTCAAGTCTGTCGCTATAAGGAATTGAATCTTTTGGTCCGAGGTTCGAGCCCCGATATCGTTGCCCAACTTCGGTGCTAGGCAGCTTTGCTGTCGTCCGGTTCAATACCGCGTCTGAGCTAGCGGGCCTTTAGGGGCGTTCACCATTCCATATTCTAGAGCTCAGGTTTCCAGATTATATCACTGAACGGGGGTCTTCCTGACTATGGGGTCTACCTCGTCTGATGTTCATCACACAAGTGTGTATAATGAAAAAAAGAATCTCTAATTCGCGTTGTTCGGCTACACAGGTTTATCATCACCCCTCCAAACTGGAGACAAGCTTTCTGTGTAACGACCAACGAAAAAGTAGTGAAAACACATTTTGTCCGTGCTACGCCTCATCATCGTGCACAAATGCTGCGACTAAACATGAAAATTTTCGGATTAGGATTGGAGACCCCTTGCGCGGATTGAGCGCAAAAGTAGCATTCTCACTCTGCCGGAGGAGTAACCATATTACGTTAATCAGTGTCATTCTCTTTCATCTCAATCACTGCGTGATTTGTTTTTAAAGGCCAGAAAAGAAATGCTGTGAAGAAAGTAGTTGATCACGATCGATAGTGATGAAGTGTCCACACGCATACAGTAGCCTCAATTGGCATTTGCAAATTCGAGACATCCGTTTCGCCGTGATAACATCCGCTTATCTGTGAAGGGTCGAGTGTATACTGGAGTTGTTCGGTTAGTTGTGCTACATCGTACAAAGACTTGGTTATTATGAAAACAAGATATAGACAGATAGATAGGCATGTGTTGCGCATGTCACTAAACAGATTTCCACGGCGCGTGCTGTTTGCCGAGACAGGTGATGTGTGGCAAATGGTCAAAATGCAACGAGGGTATGAATACTCTGACCAGGAGACTTGTTCACATAGATCGCGTTATACTTTCTGGATGGGAACCTTGGAATCAACGGTTGGAGATACTGATTGTCGTAAACAGTGACACCTAATCTCTTCGCAACCACAGTCTTCAGGAATTCGCTATTTTCACTCGGGCACTGATTTGAACATTCCACTGTTCCATTTTGCTGCTTCACCATTCTGACGTGCAGGTGATTAGTTTGTGCGCTCTCAATTTCAGTGTTTTTGCCAACTCTCGTCGTGCGACAATGATCATTAGGATAATGTTCTGCTCAGTGTCCCCGAATTTGAGAAAATTTGATTTTGGCCCACGGATTATTGAAGAAACCAAGCCATCCATGTCGGCCGCTGCTCAGGTTGTCGCCCAGCATACACCTTAGGGGAAATCCTTTCAAGTTACCGATTCCAAAGTGTGAACTGGAGTGCCAGCGTCAGTATGCACTACTTGGAATACTCTTCCATCTCACGTCATTTGTGCACCAACTATTGAATCTTCGAAGCGGAGACTCGATGAAATCCTGACAAACCTCTCGTAATCGTATACAACTAAAAAGGAGATATTAGTTGAAGACTACATTATATGTTATCTCCGACCCGGAACTATAGGTGATATTTTACCTTTGTTGCCGAGAAGCGATTCAATGGTGTAAATATCCTATAAGGACAAGAGATGCATGAACTTGTAAGTGATTCACATAATAGAGTTTTGATGCCAAATTTTCAGTCATGAGATAGGAAAAAACCCGGTGAATGAAAGTGCGTGGTTATTGATTGTAAAAAAACCCGAACTTTTCTTTTGCTCGACCATCTCACCACCATCATCATCATCATCATTGTCCAACGAAATACAGTGAAGCGATCGCTGCCAAACTCATAATGCATACAAGGCAAGTGAGAATGTGTAGCAAGGATAGGAATTAGGCCTACTTTTAGGGGTGGGAGAAGAAAGCAAACCTGTATGATCAACACACAGACAGCACAGTCCAACTGTAAAAACACAGTATTTCAAGCATTTTGATCTGACAAAACATGACAACAAGATTGCCACTGCTGTCGGTTTGTTGCCATGATCTTCAGTGTCTCTAACCATGCGGTTACGAAGTCTTTTGGACCCCAACCCGGAAGACGAGAGACACCTTCACTACCTAATCTCTCTGTGCATTTCTTCATGATTCGTCTATGGAATGAGACCTCAAACCATGCCGCAGCTCGCTCGCATCGGGTGTAACTTGACTGGTCGTTCTTGCTATCAAACGAACATTCAAACACAACCGAACCAGTTTTCGTCTACACATGTGACAGAATACCGGCTCCTCCAGTCAAGCAACCGTTTCCGCAGTATGTCGAATCCCATCAATTGTACCAATTCGTCCTTGGGTGCTCGACCATCTACCTAGGCAGAACCGAGCGGCATCTTAGACTAATAGTAGCCAAAAACATCCCTGTGTGGGTCAACTAACTGGTGAGCGAATCACACCCGAATAATCAAGGTCAAAGGTCAACCCAACGCCGCACACCAGCGTGATCGATCGTCACAGGGCATCAGATGAACGTGACCACAACAATTAAAAGTGTCTCCATCACGCAAAACTGACGGTTGCTCAAGTTTGCAGAGGCGATTGCTATAAAACAATGGACGCATGAACTGTGCGAACAGAAAGAGTTATTTTTAACTCTAGCCATACCTTGGTAAAAGATACCGCCAACAGCTCATCCAAGGTAACTATTACCTGTTAGTTTTTATTATATTCTTTGACTGTAGTATGTACCTGACGAGATTTAGTGAAATTTTTCGGGAAATAAATTGTGCAACACTGTGCTGCTGTGTTCTCTATTCAAGTTCATATCGGGAAAGGCTGTTTCAACCTACCAGTATCGACAGCCGAATGATTATTGATCTGTATTTCACCCATTGACTCCGTAAATCGTGTTGACATAATTACAGTCAGCCCGTTCCACTTCAATGACTTGTATTCTTCCTAATCCGGGGTGTATAGTTATAAGAATCTGACGACGGTGGAAAGTGGCTACTCCAGTGGAGTTTTCGTAGCAGCTATTGAAACAACAGCAGGAACAGTTTTAGATTTTGGTTAAGCAACTCCCGGTGCAGAAAAATTCAAATAAATCAAATATTTCAACAGTCAAAACTCCGTTTCGGAGTTTCAATGAAATTCACTATGACCCTGAGGTCGGTGTCGCTTTTGAGTCATGGTATCACGGATATGAGGATATCATGAAAATTGATGGTGCCTTACTTGACGATGCCGCTCGTGTTCGACTGTAACTTCCTAAACTGGGCCCTGCGGAACACGAAAGATACTGCAATTCTATCCTGCCCAAACATTCAAGAGTTCCCGACTTGGAAGAAGCAGTCAAACACCTTAGAGGAATTTTCGGTCAAAGATCATCTTTGTTCAATATACGGTATGAATGCCTAAAAATTTCTAAGGCGGCTGAGAAAGATTTTGTCTCCTACCCCAGCCGTGTTAATCGTGAATACGAGCGCTTCAAACTCACAGATGATTAGTTTAAAACTCCTATTTTAGTTTGTGGTCTACCCTCCTCCCCCCGCGGAAAATGACATTCACACGAGATTATTATCTAAACTAGAAAATGACACGGAGATTACCTTGCAACAAGTTACTGATGAGTGTGAGCCCCTAACCAATTTAAAACAAGCTGACAAGATAATCCAGGAAACACGGGACCTAACAGTTATTGATGTGGATGCTTTAACCTCGTCCAGAAGACGACTGCTACTTATGAGTAGTCAGTAGACATATCACTTATTTTACCATGGGGGTCCCCACGGGAAACGTGCGCCGACGAGAAAAAACAGAACTCGCACTGCATGTTGGCACGATGAATAGTGGTATTTCGGCCGATTTTGCGCACACAAACGATGTAACTGCGGAATTTATGATGTGGCTGGTCATAAAGAAACAATCTGTCAGCATCACTCTAAACCAAAGCCGTTCCATACTGAAAGAAGCCCCAGAAGTCGCAACTCTTCAAACCTCAATTTTGCCATGAACGCCCACAATTTCAGGTGTTAGTAAAAGTATAGCCCGATTTGTATCAATAATCGAGCAGTCAAATTACAAATGGATACAGCCTCTGGTGTAACCATTATCTCAATAAAGACCTGGAGTTTACTGACCTCCAACAAACCATCCATATTGCCCGGGCGGAATCGGGAGAACAAATCCCATTTATCGGTGAGTTCAGCTGCGAATTTTCATTTCTTGATCGTCGTTCCCGCGGTACTTGCTACATATCTGAACTTGATCATTTGAATTGGATTTGTGACAATTTCCCCTCAATGAAATTTGTGATTGTTCTGACACTCAGTGCACCTCTCGGTCACGTTTGCTGGTCGATTGGGTGGCAGCAAAGTGTGAAAACATGAAAACTGACTTCCCCAGTAATTTTTCCGGATGGTCTTGATTTATGTCGTAAAACAAAGGCATTTTTACATGTACCTTCCGGCGCTACTTTGTCCAAAACAGCCTATACAATGCCGTCAGATCGAACAATGTCTACCATATGGGGGCAAATCGATGCCAGCATGCTTGCAAGACGACAGGACTGTGTTCCGTAACTGAATCGATAACGAAGAAAAGGACAGAGAGGGTAAGCCCGATCAACACCACATACAGTGAACCCGGGTGGAAAAGTGTCCCGTAAGCTTGGACTCCGCTTTGACCGTAAGTAAAAAGGGGATTGAAATATTGCGAATACCGGGAAACTGTTCCTGGTCAAGTCACACTCAAGTGCGTTGTATCTATTATTTTGGATTGAGCAAAAGGAACGTGATTGACAATTTCCCCTGACGGTCGAAAATAAACAATACCTTCTAGAACGAATTACGGTGCTCAAAATGGTAGGTAACTATGGAAAATGAGCATTTACCACCAGGCTGTTGTATTATTTATCCTGTGTGCTTCTGAAGACTTATTCCTAATGAAACATTTTGTTGTGTCTACGCCAAATTACTAATACCGTTACAGTTACTAGTAATAAACCAACTGTGCACGTCCCGGTACCGCCTTGTGGAATAATAACACCTGTAACCCGAGGGGAGGGGGTGATAACGATAGGTTTATTTTGTGGTGGGTCATATTCCAAGCATCATCTTAGGGTGGCTAGGGCGCGTCCTACGAATTCCTGATCAACGTCTGCCACACCGTGTACAATGCGCAGACATCGATCTAGGCTGGAAGAAACAGCGACGTGGACAGGCTATGACCTGTCGCAAAGGGTTAAAGATACTGTGGTCGGATCTGGCTTCCGTTGGGGTTTCTCGGCTCCCTGGCTGGGGCCCAAAAGATTCAGATTGTCTTTTGCTGGAGACACTGTGGGATATGGCATCGAACCGAAGTCAGTGGCACGAACGCATCGTTTCTTGTCTGCAATCCCAAGATTAAACAAAATCGATAAAAAAAACTCAAAATGGCGTGCAGTAAACAAACAAACAAATGTTACTCCCCGATGTTGATTGTGTTCACTTTCTCCGCTTTTGCACCTAGATTTTTTCGCTCACCCATGGTTATTTGGAGCCGTGTCTGTAAAGATTGGTGCTATGTATATATTATATATATATATATATATAATATATACGATCCTCCGTGGTGCTCTTATTCTCCCTTCGGGGTGTGTTTGTGTGTGGAAAGGGGGGTGTCACGCTAGACAAAAACCCGCCACCAGATCCTTACTCAGGAACCTTCATTCAATGGATCCAGTCTCATTTATCCACTGGAAATCGGCCTCTGTCATGGCAACAACCCGAAGGTACGTCTGGTAGCGCACAGCCACGCCACTCTTAGAAATGTAGTAACAAATTACTTTCATCCGCACCCATCGAAACCTTCTTTAAGGGTATAAAACAGTGTCAGTGAAAAAAAACAAATAATTATGAAAAAATGCACTTTACTCTGTTTGGGGCAAATCAAAAAATAGAAATGATAAAGAATAACTGAGGTCAAATATGCCTATTCACGGAACTCCGTGATTGTTTACTGGGGCAAACACGCGATCCGCTTCCAATTGCACCTGGCGCATCTGAGTGACCAAAGAAGCTAATTTCGACGCTTGAGTGGCCAACATCTGCAACAGGTCTGGATCACAGAGTCCTTGGGCGGATGCAACCAAACGCTCCGGCTGGATGTAGTCCGTGTGTGGCTGGGTCGCTAGATAAGGTGTTTGTGATTCGGGCACGTGGAATATACGCTGCAATGTGATCAGCTGATTTTGTCTGGAAGAAAAAGACAAACCACAGAACACGCAGTTGGTATTTTCCATTATAACACGCTATTTATTGTATGACGAACAACACGAGGAGGAATAAATGCCATATTTGCGAGTAGCTACCGTTCACTCACAAGAACCGGTAATCTAAGCTTCGGGACTGACAATGATGAATCAAATAAGGCTCCGCTATAATATTTATTTTATTTCAACACGTAACCAATTACAGAGAACTGGAGAATATGCCACAACGTATGAAGAAAAAGAAACCTGAAGAATGTGTTCACAGGTTTTGTGGACATGTTACATCCCCGTTGTCCTGGCCGAGGAAGTAGGATAACCTCGGGGTTCAGACTCGGAGCCTTTGGCTAGAAAGCCAGACATGCAAGACAACAGGACGCAGTTCATCGGATCGGAATGAAATGTCCAAGGTGCCCAATACACCTTGATACTCAATCGAGCCGGTGAACACTGTCACAATCGAAAAGGTGGGGGTGTGTTTCGTACTCCTCTTCATGGTTGGTTTGGAATTAGGGTTTTTAGCCAACTCTCCTAGGTGAACTACCAGTGTCGGTTTTTGTCTTCTCACCCTAGTGGGAAAAAACCGCCACGGGAAGGCAGTGAGTAGAGCTTCCTCAGCAGAGACTATCTGAGACGCTTGGTCATACAGGAGCATTCTGCAACGTGTAAGGGAATTGTGACCTGTCAAAATCCGAGACACCCACTCCGACCATAATGGGGCTTTTGGAGGCCCACTAGCATAGACGTGGTATAAAGCTAAACCGGTCGAATCGGACATCCCACACCTCTCTCGTCGGTGATGGAAAGCCTAATAAGAAACCTGTCCTACACTGGGATCTGTTTGGTTTCGGTAATACAAGGATTGGATTGCCAGTTTTGAAAAAAAAAACTGAAGAGTGTAGCTTAATAAATAGTTCGGATGTAATTCAGGGTATTTTTTTGTATTATCACCCCATCATTTTGCCATTCAGTACGCATTACTCCCCTGTGCAACAATTTGAGTATGCGGATGAGATCACCATTTCTGTTATCGTGATTAACTAATCCGAACACAAATAACACCAATTTATACCACCTCGTTTTGCGTTTCACTTTATCCGGTCTTAATTTGAATCCCAAAAACTTTAATTTATTTTATTTTTTTTTACTTTAAACCGTTTCCCATCTCCGTCCGACATTGTACAGATCCAGAGAAATTCGACAAGCCGTGTCAACCTTGTGAATTTCGTAAGTGTCACACTTGAAAGTAACATTCGCTGATCTTTACATACCCAAACTGTTATTGGCAAACAGGATGTGCTCTCGTTTCGGATAAGAAGATTGCATCACTATCGCTCTGATTAGTCGGTGATAGGAGTTTTTGTTCAGCAACGTGTTCTCCCTATTTCTTTTTAATGGTCCCTTGTGCTGAGGCGTGGCATCTCAATGATCAACCGTGTATCCAAGTTTCGTTATCCGTTCTGATTGACAATATGAGTAATGCTCATATTGATGCGTGCTTGAAGTTTGCTGACAATATCCTATTTGATTGTACCCATCCCCTACACATTGATCTGTATGCATACAAAATCTCATCCGCCCACATGTTCCAAATACAAACTCATCCCATCTAGGATATTTACCTACGGAAACTCTTTGGTATCGTACCTTGCCCGGACACTGATCGACCAGGTGTTTATTCTGTTCATTCATGTTTTTGCATACTTGATGTCCCACTAGTTCGCCAGTATTGTGACAGTGATTGCTTTTATAGTTGAAAGCTTGCATATAACTCGACAAAACTTCGATGAATGCAATACAAGACCCATCTGATCTGTAGTAAAAACAGCTGTGACAGCCTTTAATACTTTACAATTTCACTTCATCGTGCTTCGACTACTGCCACCATACAATTCGCGTAAATTTCTGAATGATTCGCCACGAAACGTCCCAATGCTCTGGTTTGCAACTGCTCTATGTGCATAGCCTGTTCCAGAAAACAATGAAATCAATCATCCTGTCTGTCACAGCAAGAGGAAAGCGACCGTCTCCTGAAATCATCTGGCTCATACGGACCAAACAAAGAAATATAAATGGAAAGCATAATCGAGCACTTACAAATGGGGGAACAATTTGGCAATCTTATCCTGGCTTCCCCGAACGGCCAGTTCCGTTTGGGCCAACGCTGATCGCAACTGGTCCAGAATAGTCCGGATGCGGTCCACAGTCAACGGACCGGAATCACAAGTCGACCGTGCTTCAGGTGGAAGCGGACAGGCTGAATTGGAGTGCAAAATCGGAGCATGAATGAAACGATGCAGTTCCTCAATCAACAATCCAAATCTGTAGTTTTTAACTACTGATCATAATGACAGTAGTGAAACAGAGATTTTGACATTCGGTGTCATAAAGGGGAATGATATATCACGACCTCGCGGTTACGGTTGAACACAAAAATCGATATGAAGATAGACTTCATGGGTGAAAAACTGAAGGTAAAAACGTATGTACGCATCTGAAAGAATAGAGGACTCCGACATCCTCAGTATGGTCGGGGTGAGTGTCTACGGCTGCGGCTGGTCGCCCATTCCTTGCACCTCGTGAAACGCCTTCATACCAACAAGCGTCTCGAATAGCCTCTGCTGAGGAAGCCATAAACACTGCCTTCTCGTGACGGAGGTGTTTTCCCACCAAAGCGAGAGGACGAAAAGTTGATATCCGGGACTATAACCGGGTTGGTGAACCACTGGTCGTTTGCGTCGGCGAGGTGGCCAAAACCCTGAATGTTTCAGTTTCAGTTTTACAACCATTACTATGCACTTTCGTGCGCGGATTTTGGTTGCCCATTTGAATAAAAGAGCGAAATGAAGATTGGAATGTCGAAGCAAATTCAAGCGGAAGATGGGGAATACATATAGAGTGATGTTAGAAGAATAACGAGTGCATGCACGAGTACCACTGTTTGCGACACCCAGTCATATCACTCAGTGTTTCTAACCATCGGTGACCATCATCCCGAGGTCTCCAGCCAGGGAGCCTATGTGACCTAGTCTCCTGGTTAGGGTATTCATACCCTAATGCCAGGTCTTAGCTTGACCGCCCTTTGTTTTTTTCCAATCGCTACCAGCCTTGGCAAA